CCTCAGGAAGAACAGCCAATGCTCTTAACTCCAGCTCCACAATTCTTCCATTTTTCACAAAACTTCATGTACAACAAGCTTAGCATGGTAGTGCTTTTACCACGAGATTGAAAGTTCTGTGCTGGGATTGCATGCAGCGTTCTCATGAGATACTCAGCCTGTAGAAGCTGAGTTACTGAGCTACCATTGGCAGGCAGGAATGTATTCAAGCCATTTACACAAGACAGGGCCCCACACAAAAGTAGGGTTCATTGCGCTGTAGTGCAGATTGTATTTACTCAGAGCTTTAGTAAGTCTTGGTTCTAAATGATCTTTCGGAAGAGATTACAAAGTATGATTGCTCTGGTTTGAGTGTGTCTCCCAAGGTTCCAGTGTTAAGTTTTAATCTTTCCGTGAATGGAAAAGGGTGGAACTTAATCTGACTGAAGCTGGAGGTGGGGCCTTTGGTCAGTGATTAAGATTAGATAAAGCCCTTAGGGTGGAGTCTGTGATTGAATACTGGTTACCTTATAAGAGGAAGAGAGACTAAAAGATACACACACAGACAGACAAACACACACACACACACATTCACCCCACTTCCTGTCTCTTACCATGTAAAGTCCTACACTACTTTAGAATTCTGCATCAAGGAAACAGTCACCCATTGTGGACTCTCAACCTGGAGCCAGAACCATGAACCCAAAGAACTCTTCTTTTTAAGACTGAAGTCTCGGGTATTCTATTTTACTAATGAAGGGGGCCCTAAAACAAGGATTACACTCAAGAAAACAAAACCACAAACTTGGATTTGCAAACAGCAAACGGTAGTTTTTCAAGCCCTAAGCCATGTGTAAGCTCTCGGGAGGAGTCTTTACTTTATGCAAGTTGGCAGAAGTAAGTCACCAAGAGCCTGTCACTATTCATTTTATCAACTCCAATCGTGTGCTCCTGCTTGAATTTTGACAGGGATCACAGATATGAGCCATACACTGGTGTCCTAATCTTCTCACAAGAGAAGATTCCACAACAGTTACCTTATGCAATATTCGTTTTGATCCATAAATGAGTCCATAAACTTTATGGTCAACTGAATTTTAATTATGGGAGTACCTCATACCCTATGGAAATGACAAATATTAAATTGCCAAGGTTCATTTTAAGCTATGTCCAGGTGAGACAAAAACATTTGCTGATTTTTTTTCCTTCTCCTTAGTTCTCACAGGCACTGGTGACAGGCTGAGTGGACATCTTTGTTATTAACGGCCATTGACCTATTGGGAATGAGGCGCAGTTTGGAGTTTAAGTTGTGTTTCTTCAGGCCCCATGTCCTATAATAAGTGGGCATCAAACTTTTGAGTCTTAGGACTTCTTTTTTATTAAATTATTGTGATGACTTTAAAGAGCTTTTATTTATGTAGACTTCATTTACATATATTTCTTAGACAAATTAAAACTGAGAACAACTTATTTTTTATACAGGATCTGTGTTTCCTAAACTGGTTTCAAATTTTTGTTCTCAAGTGATCTTCCTTCCTCATCCTCTTTAGCAACTGGGGCTATGTGTACACGTTATAGTAATGTGGTGGTTTGAGTAAGAATGACCCCCATAGGCTCATATGTTAGATGGTTAGTCACCAGGAACTGAAAATGTTGCGTAGGATTAGAAAGATTAGGAGTAGCCCTGTTAGAGGAAATGTGTTATTGGGGGTGGGCTTTGAGGTTTCAAAAGCCCATACCAGTTCTAGTCTTGCTCTCTCTGCCTACCAATCGGGTTGTAGCCCTCGACTACTGCTCCAGCATCTGCCTGCATGCTGCCGTGTTCTTTGCCATGATAAGGGACCATACCTCTGAAACTGTAAGCCAGCCCTCATTTAAATGCTTTCTTTTCTAGGAGTTGCTGTGGTCATGGTGGCTCTTCCCAGTTATAGAACATTGACTGGTACAATTACCAGCATCCAACAGAGAAATCACATGTAAGGGCATATGAGCAAACATTCCACAGTGTTGTCATCACCCCAAATCATGTAGTTTCTATAACTTTTCAGTTATACTTGTAAAGAATGAGAATGGGAAGGTTGAATAAACAGTGTTAACACCATGGAATAATTGCAAACCCATGGCTGTCATGAAAGAGTCACATGGACCTCTGAGGCTCTGTGTTAACTCTAAGCACTGTGACATGAAGGAGCCAACCACATTGTTTCATTAGCATTTTTACTTTTCTGTTATTAATTTAAGCGTGCACATCAATCAATGGGTCCCATGATGCCATCATTATACATATGCATCATTACGCTTTTCCCCCATTAATCTTTTCTCATCTTTAGAATGTGCAGGTCTTTGGCTAGGGGTGGTGTCACAGGCCTACAATCCCAGCAAGGTGGGCAAGGCAGGAAGATTGTGAATTTGAAGCCTGTCTCAAAAAATAAAATAATATGTATACATGTTTATTTTCCCTTCCTAGGGAAGCACAACTTTCTTTTGTTTTTGTCTAGGAATTCCATCTCCTATGTTTTGGGAGGCTTGTAAATTATTACAGTTAAGTATAATATTCCTAGTTCTTTTGTACTGTTTTTGCTTGGTGGGTTTTGTCTATGGCAGGTATGGATTTACCTGCATTTTGTCAGTTTTATTGTTTACTCTGCATCTCTGCCTTCCACCCTGTTTTCCTTGTCTGCTTGTTTTGTTTGGTATTGCAGGGGATGGAACTCAGCCTTGTTCATGCTAGGCAGGTGCCCTGTCACTAAGCTACACTTCCAGTCCCCCTTTTAGCCTTTCCTGATCACAATATGAAGACTGCTAGATTTTTCTTCCTCTTCCTTTTTTGCTTGTGTTGCCTTCTGTGTTTTAGTGTCTTTGGGGCATAACTTTTATCACTATCACCAAATACTGAAAATGTTGCTGACTTTCAATTCTCAACAATCTTCACCAATGTTAACTCCCATGAATGTGTGACTAGAGCTAGGGTGAAATTGCTTGCTTGCAGGTTCCAATTTTCTAGGCACTTTACCAACATATAGGAAAAAAATTACTACAAAGTCTGAGCAATCAGACAGTTCACACTTATTAATGTACATGACCAGCATTACCCAAACTGAATGGTTTCTTCAGATAAATATGGCTCAGAATTCAGCAACTCAAAAAAAAAAAAACTGTGTAAACTTTACTCATTAAATACAATAACATATGCTTACTACTTACAGGGATCTCAGATTATTGGGTTTGTAGAATGATTTAACTTCATAGCTATTTCAATCACAGAGTGATTTCTTTTCATTGTTTTGTTTTTTGAAACAAAGTGTCTTGCTGTCTGTCCTGCCTCCACCTCCTGTGGATGGGGCTCACAGGCATGTAGTAACAGACCAAGGCACGTGACAACAGGCTAAGCATGTGCCATCAGGCCAAGGCATGTGCCATCAGGCCAAGGCATGTGCCATCAGGCCAAGCATGTGCCATCAGGCCAAGCATGTGCCATCAGGACAAGCATGTGCCATCAGGACAAGCATGTGCCATCAGGACAAACTCATGAGTGGGCTTTAGTGTTTTTTAGTGATAGCATCTCTTGCCAGGAGTGCTTTAAGGACTCATTTTGAAATTCAAGTCTTAGAGATGTAAGACCTTGGCTATCAACCTAGCCAAATCATTTTCTACATGAGGTGACTGGTAAAGCGTGTATGTGACTGGTAGACTATGACTGAGAAAGTGGCAGAGGTGACTGGCTTGAATCTTTTTAACATATTTGATTGCTTTTGGGCTGAAAAAAACCTTAGATAAAGCTGAATTTCATTGTTTTACAGATGAGAAAATGATTGTATAATGTGGTTAAGTAATGGCATACCACACACACACACACACACACACACATACACACACCCCACTACCACTACCATCACCACACCCCACACACCTATACAATATCTGCTGGGGGTAAGAATTTAATAAAAACTAGTTTCCCTTCTTGGCCTATCATCCATCTAGAACCCAGAAGTGCTAACTCATGTCTACCTGGTGTGCTTCATTTTTATTCCTCAGAAAAAGCTCAAGGAAGCAGTACTTATTCATTTAACTATGTTTTATTTTCTTTGAGACAGGGCTGGCTTGAAACTCGCTATGTAGACCAGGCTGGTCTTGAACTCACAAAAATGCTGATGCCTCTGTTTCTGAGTACTAGTATTAATGGCGTGCACTACCGCACTCCCCAGTATTTATAAGGTAAGTACTGATGAACAATGTATTATATGGGCACATGATAGATTAAATATTATTTTATCCCTGAGTATGTTAAAGTTGTTTTAAACTGTATAAAAACACAAATGCACTGAAGTATTTTCCTTATAACGGGGGCAGCATATTATTAACTCTCTAAAGTACTCTTTCACAAGTGCGTCACTGTCTCTTTTCACCTAATTACACAGGTGTAGGCTGATGCTGGGCTAAGGAAACACAGTACTAGCATAGGGCCTGGTAGGGACAAGCCTCACCAATCCACAATTCTGTTTCTCCTTTTGTAGTCTTCACCTGGTCTACCACTGAAGCCCTCACCCTGGTGACTCCATGCCTTTGACTCACAGTTTCTACAGTCATAATGTAGAAATATGTTCAATATTACAGAATTAGTCTATGGATCAAGTGATACACATATATAATCTGTCAAATCTTACTTGTATAAGAGATTACATAGCATGATGAAAAACACACTAGGGAAATCAGGAAATTTAGATCCTGGTGCTGGCCCATCACTCACTGTCTTGCTGTGACACCTTGGACAAGTCCTTTTAAAAAATTCTGCAAGATACACGTAGATGGGTGTCTCAAAGAGTCATTTTGGAGGAGAAGAGGGGCAGAGTAACCCTGCTTTTATCAGCTTTTCTTAGATTTTCAAATATTATATTACATGAAGAATGAGTTCTGCCAAAAATTACAATTTTATCTTAATTCCCCAGAGTGGGTTTACAACAGGAAAAGGGATAGGCAAAATTTCAGAAAATTCTTGGACGATTTTTAAAATCTGTCTTTACCTTGCATCCTTCGCAAGCGTGAACCCCATAGTGGAAGCCTGACGCCTTATCCCCGCAGACTCGGCACTCAATGGCCATGAGGGAGTTGGAAGGCTCTTCATGAGGCCTGTTGTAGAGCTGGGTCTTCTCAGAATAATAAGGTGGGGATGCAGGTTCTACTTTGATCGCACCTGTGCATCGGAAAATTTGAGAAGATGGTTATCTCATGACAAACAATCCTAAAAGGGCACCGAGGCTTCCCATGGTGACCTTCATATGCTCGTCCCATAACTTTACTATCTTGGAGAAGTGCTGGGGAGCATGAAGGCACCCGGTGCTCACATAGGAAAAAGTAGACTTTGTCATCCCAGGAAAGTCCCAACACCCCACACTCACCTGCACAAATAAAGCGGGAAGGGAATTAAGAGTGAGGGAATGAAGTCTGCCCCCTTGCTCCCCACAGACACTGCACATAGTTTGAAGCAGTGCAGTTTCTTTGGCAGGAGGATGGGCTGCACCTGGCACTCACTCTGTTATTATGGGTTTTATTGAAATGCTGCTCTTTAGAAGTAGTTTTAAACATTCCTTGAAAAAGAAACACAGAAGGAGGAACATGGCTGAGAAAAATGTCACAGTGAGCCCAGCCCGAGGTGCCAGGTTATCAACAGGGTTGAGTCAAGAGGTGGTTTGTGAAGTGATCTCTGATAGAGAGCAGGAGAAACCTGTGTGAAGCAAGTGCTGCCTTTGCCGGTGGCTCAGGCCTATCGAATTTCCATATTAGGCCTTAACCCAGAACCACACAGATAAATATAACCACGTATACTATCTATCTAAAGAAAACAACTAGAAATTACAGGAAGTTCTTACTTATGATCAAGTAATGATTGCTAGTGACACAGGGGTGACTCTGGAAAACCAGCACATCAGCCCACAAGATAAAAATCAAGGAAACAGCATCACAAAAATGATACTTTATCTTGAAAAGTTCAGTTCTGGCTTTTTTTTTTTTTAAATCTGATGTTTGATGGTAATTTCCTTAATGGCATGATGATATGTCAATCAGCTACAGTGTTAAAATGTAAGTTTGTGCCCCAAACCCTATGTAAGTTTGTGCCCCAAACTAGGGTTTGGGGTAAATTTCACAAACTACAGATTAGAAAAAAAGATATCAACTGTAATAGTAACTTAAGGATGACCAGTCACAAAAGTTGATCTATAATTGTGACAATAACTCATAAGAAGCTGGGAGCATGCAGTTTACACGCGGACTCTCAGCCTAAGACAGAACTGACAATGTAATCAGGCTAGAAATGCTCTTAAGAAGGTATCAAGAAAGGAAAGAAAGGAGGGAGGGAGGGAGGAGAAGGAAAGGGAAAAGAGGTTGGAACAGACATTCATATACTGGCTTCTTTTTGGCCTCTCAAATACTCAAAAACTTCAAGGGCAATGCATAAATGAGAGATGATGCTTTCTCTTTGGAGTTCTAATCTCCGGAGCATCTATCCCAGGGTATTCAGAGATTTGTCTAATTCCAGTCTTAGGAGTTTGGAAAGCGAACATACTTTGGTATTCTTGGAGCTTCAGGTCATATTTGTAATCAGCAACCATTGGGTCAGCTCTTGTGAAGGGAATATCCTCATAGTGCGGAGCAGAAATGCTGGAGAAATCAACCGTGGTGAAGGGCTTGATGTCAAAGGCATGGGAGTGCTCATCCATCACAGAGAGGTCCACAGAGCTGATCCCGAAGTTGGTGGGCCAAAATGGTATCTCTGTGTCAACCATGGTAATTTCTAAAATGGAAAAAGAACAAGGTGTGAGTCAAGTTCTGGAGGAGAGAGCAGTCCTCTAGGGACATACAGAGAGTTTATATCCAGTGAGGGAGGAGTGCATTGCTGCCTTCCTAGCACCCTCCAGGTGGCTTTACAGGGAGAAGGAAGTCAGCTTTCACCCGAGTATACTAGCAGACACCCTACAGTGTGTAGCTACATGGAACAAATCAATCTAAATGTGAGCTCTGCTCACACTGTCTGCTCCAGCAGGTCAGCTGGATCTGATAATGGTTATTTTTCTTACTTCATATTGCTTCCACTTTTATTAAGCTATAACTGATAAGATATTTAAATGATCACCATAGTGTTCTTTTGATATATATATACACTGTGAAATAATTACCATCATCAAATTAATTAAAATATTCCTCACTTTATAGAATTTTCTTTGTGTTGAAAAAACTTAAGGTTTGCTTCCTTAGCCAATTTCTTTTTCTTTTCTTTTTTTTTTTCCTTAGCCAATTTCAACTATAGGATACAGTATTCCTAACTGTAGTCAGCAGTCAGCTTGTTGTCCATCAGGTCTCCAGAGCCTAATGGAAACTCTGGCCAGCCTTCCCATTTTCCTTATGCCTAGTCCTTGGCAACCAGCAACAGTGTATGGGATTTGCTTTCCTGCATCTGGTTTATTTTCCTTAGCACAACGTTTCTTTGGGTCATTTATATTGCTACAAGGGACAGAATTTTCTCCTTTCTAAAGGCCATACAGTACTCCAGTATAGTATGAGTGTGTGTGTGCACATGCATATGTATGTATGTACATTCTGCATATGTGTGTATCTACATACCACAAAGTTTTTTGTTTGTTTTTACTTGTTCATGTGTCTTAGACTCTTATGTTGATTTCAACTCTTGGCAATAGCCAATAGTGTCATAATGAAATCTTGACACAGTGATTTTAGTTTCCTGGCCATATGTCTAGCAGAGGTACTGTTAATTACATGGAAATTCTACTTTTGGTTTTCTGAGGATCTCCACTTGTGTCCTATAATGGCTTCGCAGTACACAGTATATATCCCTAAAAAGGTTTCTGTTGCTCGATAGTCTTTCTTCTCTTTATGGGTCAGCCATTCTAACAGGCATGGAACAGTATATTTTATTGTAGTTTTGATTTCATTTTACCCAGGGATTAGTGATGTTGAACACTTTTTCATACACCTGTTGATCATTTGTATGTTTTCTTTTTAGAAATGGCTACGAATATTCTTTGTGCATTGTCTTGGACTGAGCTCTTTGGTGTTTTGTTACTGATTTGCATTTCTCTTGTGTTTGTGTTCATCTGTGTGTGCATGTGTGTGTGTGTGTGTGCACTCACACACACATGTATCCCTGTGAATGTGCATGGGAGGTTTCATCCTCAGGAACATCTTTCACAACCTTTGAGATGGGGTCTCTTGTGGCCTGAAGTTCACAGTTAGGCTAGAATGACTGGTGTTAGATCCAGAGATATTTTTTTCTCCACTTCCCAGGAGTACAAGTGTGTACTAGTATGCCTGATATTTTTATGTGGGTTCTGGGAATTGAACTCAGTTTCTTATGCTTACAAGCACTTTACTGAGTCATTCTCCCAGTTCTGTGTATTTGAGATTCTTTTCTCTCTCTCTTTCTTTTCACTTCTCCCTCCCAGGTACTGAGATTAAAAGTTTGTGCCACCATGCCTCGCTCTTTTTTTTTTATTTATTTTTATGTGTATGAGTGTTTGTCTATATGTATGTATGTGTACCATGTAAATGCTCAGTGCCTGTGGAGGCCAGAAGATTGTGCCAGATCCCCTAGAACTGTAGTTACTGGCAGTTATGAACCAGGAACCAAACCAGGGCCCTCTGGAAGAGCACCAAGTGTGTATTTTTCTAAGTCTGATTCGCCATTGTAAGTAAAAGAAAGCTCTGATCCATTTGGGACCCAAGTACTGGATATGAACTGTGAGTCAGTGGTTAGTACAGACTATAAATCTTGATGCAATTATAAGTCTGACTTAGTTCACTTGAAATGAGATCACAATTCAAAGTGGTGCCTAGAAAAATAATTACTCTAAATGCTCCAGAGCTATGTACATTCAAGGTTGTTAACCCTGGTGACAAAGAAATGACCTTATAAAGTTTTATCTTTGCTATAGTCATATTGGCACCATTTGACAAAGGTTTTACTTATAATAGGTGCTCATTAAATATTTACCTTTAAACATTAAATGACTTGATGGTTTGAGGAAAGTGTGAACTTTTAGCAAAGGGGTCAGGGAAGGAGAGAAGCAAACAGACCCACTGAGTACCTACTGTGTGCCAGACACATCTACCTTTTTTTCCACGTGTGCTGAAATATTCTCACTTTATAGATTAATAAGACAGGACTTGACCTGTAAGGTTACATGACTTGCCCAAGGTCCATGGACTAGGTAGGTGTGGACAATTCAAACCGAAGGCTGACTCAGAAACTCTATCCTTTCAAATAATGTCTCATTGATAAAAATGTTCTGGAAGATGGACTCTTCTCACAAGGGAATGGTCCCCTTGATTTTTTTCCAGCATGCATTTTTTTTTCCCACAAAGGCTGCATGGATGAAGAGGTTCATCTATGGTCTTCACGAGAAACAAAATGCCTCGTAGATACAAATAAGGAGACTGGCTTTGTGGATGTGCTCTGTGACTGTAAGAGGGCTCATCAGGCAACGTTTGGGTTCCCATGCCAGATATCTGCATAGCAAGTACCCAAACAACCTTCAGTTATCTATGCTACGGTATAAACACTGCACACCAAAAAAGAGGAATGTGCATTGGTGATAACTTAGAGGACGCCATGGTCTCTGTGACATCTAGAAAGAAGTCTTTGCTCCTTATTAGCAGGAGCACCATCAAACGATGCTGTTGGCTTCAAAATCCATCTACAGACCAAGTCACTGCATTTACTTTGCTGCTCTCCTTAGAATGTTTAATTTTCATTTCTCTATGTCCTTACCCTTTGCTATCAGTCATTTTCATTTCAAAAGGTATCTCTTCTTGTCCAGAGAGTAATATCCTTAAAGTTGGATGTTTCTCATGACATCTATTGTGAGTTAAAGGTAGTGAGTATGCCTCTGTATAGACACTGAGAAGTGAAAATAAGGATGGAATACCTAGATACTTGGTTGTAGAAAAATTGGTCATTCATCATTTTATTGGTTAACTTTTTTTTTCTGTTTGGGGATGGAACCCAGGACTTTGCACATGCTAGGCAAATGCTCTACCATTTTCTTAGCCTTCCATGTGAGCAGGGGCTTTACAAGTGTGCACTATCAGGTCTGGCTTTACAGGCTTTAAAAACACTTTTCAGGTTTATATAAAATTAAGTAAAAGGAAAGCTCTTATATAGAATCTTACCTTCTGAGACAAAGGGTGTCCCCCCTGCCACTAACCTGTGCTATTGTGGCACATCTGTGACAACTAACAAGCCAGTATGGATATGCTCATATGAACTAAAGTCATGTCTACTTACACACCGTATGTAGATAAGTCTAAGGACGTTAGCAGGAGTATAATGTGATGTGTCTATCATTACAGTACCATACAGAACTAGTGCTCTGTCTTAACCAACCCCTGCATTCCCACATCCACCCTCCCCTTCCCTTAAAGAATGCGCTTTCACTGAGCTCTGTTATTAAGAATGTGTTGTCAGAGAAGCAGGACAACAGCACCTTGCATCTCAGCTTGGTATTAGAAGCCCTCCATGGCACATCCACAACTTGCTTTTTCAGACCTTTTCCCATACTTGGCATGTACTACCTCTAGATGTGCCACACTGTCTACCTGCCCTGCAGTCTCTACTCTTGCCCTTCTTCATAGATGCAGGTTCCTGGGGTCACTGTATCTTTTTCCTATCCTTCGTTTCTGTGCACCACACTCTTCCTTGTCTTTCAAAGGTAAATACTACTTTCTTCATGAAACCTTCCGTGAATCCTCCTCTTCTTCAATGCTGACATAATTTCTGATCTGTTTAAGTATCTATGCTATAGATACAACATATCTATATAATATATACTACTATAGCTATAAATTCGATAGTCTCTATAGCATTTACATTTTCATTTTGTCTAGAATGAAGAGACACCTTATCATCTAGTTTTCCGTTAGTCCTTCTGCATGGTTGTTGTGTTCTAAATACTTGCTAATTAAGTAATAATGTTATCTGGAGAAGAATAGAATGACTTCTCATTTTGCTGAGAAGGAAGAAGAAAATTAAGATACTTTCTCAGTGGTTTAGTTTTGTCAAGATGTAAGCTCTCCTGAAAAGATTAAGCTTTGATGTTATAACTAAGACACAACATGAGCTCAAAACCTGTCTCCAACCCTTTGGGGACTATCAGGAAGATTAGAACTAAGTTACTTTTTTCTTCTTTTGTCATACTGGGCACTGAACCCAGAATTGTTCATAATGATAGATAAGTGCTTTACTACTGAGTTATGCCCTAGCCCAGGTTTCCTTATTTTTCTAGGAAGGGAGGAAAAGGAAGAAAGAAAAGCATTTGCCTCTTCATCTTTAAGAAGACATATTGCTAACACACATTATTTCCTCTCCCTCTCCTTTTTCTGTAATTCTGGGACACCTTGACCTCAACAGTATTACTCCATGGACATGATTACTGAGAGGTACGGGATCCAAACATGCTTTATTTTACTTTGACTTAGAGATGGTCCAGGAAAGCTGCTTCTTATTTTGTCTTTAGAAAACATAAGCTTCTGTTGCTGCCAAGCTGTAAGTCAAGTAGGTGTTTTTTGTTACCCCGTGCAATTATCCATGAAAGAGCAAATGGACAAAATATTTGCATGAACAACAGCCCTTCTTAGGAATAATTCAGTGTCTTAACTTTCCAGCTGGGTGACATGAGTCCTGTTGCCTCAGGGCTTATCCTTCAATTTCACAACCTTTCAAGAAAGTCTTTAGACACACTTTGTGTGCAATGACACAGCTCTACGCTGTTTCTCTTTGAC